CATTAAGATTGTGAGATCAGATAGAGGTGGAGAGTACTACAGTAGATATACTGAGAACTGACAAGCACTAGGTCTATTTGCAAGATTTCTTCAAGAGCATGGGATTGTTGCCCAATACACCATGCCTGGTTCTCCGGACCAGAATGGTGTAACAGAAAGAAGAAATCGAACTTTAATGGACATGGTGAGAAGTATGAGAAGTAATGTTAAACTTCCATCATTTTTATGGGTAGAAGCTCTTAAGACGGCAGCGTATATATTAAACCGGGTTCCTTCCAAGGCCGTCTCAAAGACGCCTTTTGAGCTATTCAAAGGATGGAAACCGAGTTTGTAACATGTACGCATTTGGAGATGCTCGTCTGAGGTGAGAGTGTACAACCCACAAGAGAAGAAGCTAGACCCAAGGACTATTAGTGGGTATTTCATTGGATATGCTGAAAGGTCTAAGGGTTATAGATTCTATTGTCCATCTCATAGTACGAGGATTGTGGAATCAAGAAACACTAAATTTCTTGAGAATGACTTGATTAGTAGGAGTGATCAATTTTGGGACATTGTTCCTGAAAAGGATCATGATCAACTTCCATCTACAGTTTCAAGTGACAAGTTGATGGTCATTCACGCACCTCAAGCTAAATCGTGTGTTAGACAACCAACTATTGAGGTTCCACAAGTTGACAATAATCTAATAGATCATAATGCTAATGAGGAACAAACAGTTCATTGTGAGGATGAACATATTCCACTGAGGAGATCTACTAGACCAAGGAAATCAACTATTACTGGTGACTATTTAGTGTATCTACAAGAATCGGATTGTAATATTGGAGCCAATAATGATCCTATGTCATTTTCACAAGCCATAAGTTCTACAGATTCAAACTTATGGATGAATGCCATGAAAGATGAGATGGACTCTATGGCATCTAATCAAGTTTGGGACCTCATCGAGTTGCCAAATGGTATAAAAGCCATTGGATGCAAGTGGGTCTTTAAGACAAAGAAAGACTCACAAGGCAACATCGAGAGACATAAGGCTAGACTCGTTGCCAAAGGGTTCACTCAAAAGGAAGGAATCGATTACACAGAGACTTTCTCTCCTGTATCAAAGAAAGGTTCCTTCCGAGTGGTGATGGCATTAGTAGCTCATTTAGATTTTGAGCTACATCAGATGGATGTGAAAACGACATTTCTCAATGGTGATTTAGAGGAAGAGGTTTATATGAGACAACCTGAAGGATTCTTCTCTAAAGAGGGTGAACATTTGGTTTGTAAGCTTAATAAATCCATATACGGGTTGAAACAAGCTTCCCGGCAATGGTATATGAAATTCCATAAAGTGATTACTTCATTTGATTTCGAAGAAAATATTATGGATCAATGTATATACCTTAAGGTCAGTGGGAGCAAGATTTGTTTCCTTGTGTTGTATGTGGATGATGTTTTGCTAGCAACCAATGATAAGGGGTTGCTATATGAGGTGAAACAATTTCTTTCAAGTAACTTTGATATGAAAGATATGGGCGAGGCATCTTATGTCATTGGCATAAAGATCCATAGAGATAGATCTCGAGGCATATTGGGTTCGTCTCAAGAGGCCTATATCAACAAAGTCTTAGAAAGATTCGGTATGAAAGATTGTTCACCAAGTGTAGCACCCATTGTGAAAGGTGACCGGTTCAGCTTGGACCAATGCCCCAGGAATGACATTGAAAGGGAACAAATGAAAAATGTTCCATATGCTTCAGCTGTTGGTAGCATTATGTATGCTCAGGTCTGTACTAGACCCGACATTGCATATGCCGTTGGAGTATTAGGCAGATATCAGAGTAACCAGGCATCGATCACTGGAAGGATACGAAGAAAGTGCTGAGGTACCTTAAGGGTACTAAAGATTACATGCTTATGTATAAGTGGACTGACAGTCTTGAAGTGGTAGGCTACTCCGATTCTGACTTTGGTGGCTGCAATGATTCACGTAAATCCACATCAGGATATGTGTTCATGCTAGCTGACGGGTCCATATCTTGGAGGAGTGCGAAGCAGACCTTGACGGCCACTTCTACGATGGAGGCTGAGTTCGTTTCTTGTTTTGAGACTACCTCACATGGTGCATGGCTGAAAAGTTTCATATCAGGGCTAAGAGTTGTTGACTCTATTAGTCGACCGATAAGAATGTATTATGATAATTTAGCTGCTGTCTTTATGATTAAGAATAATAAGAGTGGAAGTCGAAGTAAACACATCGACATAAAATATCTAGCCGTAAAAGAACGTGTGCAGGAAAAGAAAGTGATCATTGAGCACATTAGCACTGAATTAATGATAGCTGATCCCTTGACTAAAGGCATGCACGTTAAAGGATTCAAGGATCATGTAATCAGGATGGGACTTGGTTCCATTATGTAGTACATTCATTATGTTTTGTCTGAAACTTTCATTTAGTTGGATAATTTCTCATTTGGAATTATGTACGTACATATTTTAGTTATTTTATTAAGAAATATCATTATAGTTTGACCTAGAGTGAGCATATGGTTTACTCATTAAGTTAAGTGTGAGTGATGAAAGACTAAGTATATTGTGATACATGGAAGATTAATTCTTGCCCTTAAAGAGAATTAGTCGCTATGATTCATATATGAAGTCTCTCTCGTTAAATGGATCAAGTGGGAGAATGTAAGACGTTTTTCATTTAGTATAATAATTAATATTTATTTATTAATTATGGAAAAAGATTATGATCCATTTAGTGGGAAGTTGCCAATGATCAAGGTAACTAACCCATGTTCTCTCCCACCTTTAGGAAACCACCCACATACTCATATCTATTGGTAACTACTCTATGATGGCTAGAGTAGTATAAATAAGTGATATTAATTTCTGAAAAAGGTCACCAAATCTACTCTCCATAAATTTCTACACCATTTAAAAGTGAGCAGTGAGGGTTTGGAACCAAAGTTCAGATTAGCAATCTTTTGGGGCTTTCTCAAAGATAATTTAAGGTTTCAAATAGCAATGGCTGGAGGTACAATAATCGATCTCTTTTATTGCTTCCGTTTTATTATTGTATGTTCATATAGTAATTAGAATATACATAAAGATATGTATGATTTACACTGCCATGTTTTGTACTAGTGTATGTACTCATCCATTTTGAAACAAAAGCATAATGTTGTTAGGATGTTCTTGGTAAAGTTGTGTATATTTAAGACTGAAAAAGACATGTCGTTTTCATCTCTGTGCTAAAGTGTTATATACCTAAATCCCCTTTGAGGGAATTTGTTTTGGGGTGTTACATCAACAAAATGAGTTACACATCACTCCTTTTCTTGTTAACCAAACAAGATTTATTTTAAAAAGTTGATTGTACGACCCCACAAATCAAATAGCACCGTTGCTAAAAGGTGGTGAATCCCCCCCCCCCCCCCCCCCCCCCCCGTTTGCAAAATTAAGTGGTTTACTCATTACTGCTTCCTTGTGCAACGGGCCACTCTGGCCAGGTCAGAGATGTCGTCGCTTCAATTCAGAGGTGATGACTTTAGGGGCTCCCCTCTTACCTTATCTATACACATAGAGGACGACGTAAGAGATGAATGCAAATAAACTTGTTGGCTTGTCTAATGCAGTCAAATACCGAGGGCTAAATGTATAATTATTCGACTAATTTAATTGAGAACATATAGCCTGTATTGCGGCCCACATCGGACTTGAACGGGGGAACCGTCAACGAGTGATGATGGTGTATGATATAAGTTTTGAATAGTGGATAAGATCATTATTGTAAGGTAGTTGGTGTTCTAGTCTGGTGGACATGGATCATGTCTTTTCAAAGAAGTATCTAGATAGCTCATGCACTTATTTATATTGTTATATATGTTAGAGTGTAAAATTATAACGTTCAATACTTATCATAGCTTTAAAATTTTGATATATTTAACAAAGACTTTTATCAGATCATTAACAAAGTTAAAGCAGATTTTACCGTCACGTGACCCATAAAAAGAATGCTCAACCTGCGAGACTATATTAGAGCACGGAATTCTATTTCAAGTTTTGTAGTGGTGAGAACTTTAAGAATAAAAAGAAATCTCATATTCTAAGAGTTTAATCCCCTCTTGATTTGTCTAGACATTCTTTTATTGTTTTATACTTTTGGTATATGACCAATCAGTACAGATGAATTTGTTTACTTCTGGTGCATGTTTTCTTTTATGGTTGTCCTTTAAACAAAGATGATACACTGCTAAGTGCTAACTATTGTGAAGTCAGAGTTGGATCTTCTCTACTATCAAAAAATAGCAAAGATAATACTACCCGCTACTTCTAATTCAAATTATCGATGTTTATTGAACGTTCGTGGATGACTGTGATTCATTTTAAATAAAAACTTCTCATATCTCCATGAATATTAATGCGCTCATTCTTATCTCACTATAAAGAAAACAAATCAGGATCATGAATTAAACAATCAATGATTGAAATTAAAAATAATGATTTCTCCGAACAATTTTTGATAGCTAGGGGGAATCTAAGGGTGCATTTACCAACTCTCTAAAACTGGACGAGGTTTGGATCTAATCCAGTTTAAGAGTTTTTTTTTTATTGGGTAAAACTAGTAGGTCAGAAATGACCCAGTTTGCTTTAGTTCATATTTTAGGATTTAAACTAGTTTAGTTTTGAAACAAGGGGAGCTGGTCTTTAACTAAACTGGTTTTATTCAAAACCAATTTTAAAGTTATGCGATCAGTGGAAGGTCCTACTAAAGAGTAACAAGATGTGCTCTACCATCCAGTGTGGTGTGGGACATCACAGAAAAGGGGTTAAACTATAGCTAATACATTCAGAATAAACAAAAGTTAAATTTATTAATTTGTTGGGTGATTTATTTTAATCCTTGAGCTATTCTTTAACATTGGAAACAGGAATGGTTAAATACAATTACCTTCTTTATAAACAGAGAAATAACTTCTTAACCATTTTAAAAAGGAGATGAATTCAAAAACGAATCCCTCATTTTTACATATATAACATATTTACATAACAAATTTACATTTGCATTTCTTTATTTACGAATCACTGGACAAAAGCCAATAGTACTTCCTCCATTTAAACCATCATAACCCTAAACTCATCAAAGCTAATAACCCCATCTCCGTTCAAATCAAACCTCCGAATCATCACCTTACACTCCTCGATGCTCTTCTTTTCTCCCAACATCCCCAGCGCCCTCCTCAAGCTCTTGGGAGTAATACAACCTCTGCCCTCCATTTCATACACTTGAAAAGCCTCCTTCAGCTCTTCTCCCTTCTCTTCATCTCCTTCAACCTCCACCAACTCCACGAACTCCTCAAACTTCAAGAACCCATCTCCATCGGAATCCGATAAGGCCAGCACCGCCTCTGCATCCTCTGCAGAGAGCTCCTCGCCGATGTTTCTCATGCCGTTTCGAAGCTCAGAAGGTGATACTTTTCCGTCGCCATTCTCATCGAAGTATTGGAAGACTTGCCAGAAATCGTTACTGAATTCAGCAGCAGTCGATAAGTTCCGGAGCAGCAACGGCCTTGTTGGCCTTTCGCGCGTCTTTGGAGAGAGGAAAGAGAGGAGCTCAGAGAAGAATGGGGACGTGGAGATGGTTTTTATCTTCTTCGAACTTGTGTACATAGCTGCTAGAGGTGTAGTAGTAGGTAACGACTAAGCAAGCAAATAGTGAGCTCTAATTTATAGTACGATGAGAATTAATGATAAGGTTGAAATTTATTGGGTGGAGGAGTATGGAATGATAAAGATCGATGTGAGATATTTTTGGAGAGTCTGAGCTGTGCCGTTTGTTTTATAGAGCTTATGTGTTTCGTTACACGTAGATATATAGAAAACTGTGAGCTGCCAGCGTGTACCAGCTGCTGCTGTTTACGAGTTTATTGAGAGAAGTCGGGAGAATTTCTGAGTTTGGAGGGAGAGAAGGTTCTGATGAATTGCGAAGGGAATTTGTCTGAGAAACTAGTAGCTCAGGGTGCTTAGGATAAGATAGCTCATAGCAAGGACTTTGTGCGTGGTTGGTCAAAATGAAGAAACACGACTTTCTGCCCCTTTTTTGTTTTGCCTACTCCTTTAATTTAAATCCATTTTTATTTTGTGGGCTTCATTTTAAAACTTTACATTTCCTTCGAATTTAATTATTTTTAATTTCAAGTATATCGATGAGTGTATTTAAACGTTACTAGAAATTTGACATGTGTAAATACACCTAACATAAAAAAAATGTCGTTTTTTAGTATTTGTATATCGATCTTTTGCAATGTGAAAAGTAATTTCACTTTAGAGTGTGGTTTTACATAGGGAGAGAGATGTCGTTCATTTATACGAAGAGAAATTATCTTTTACCGTAGAAATTTATACGTGCAATGTGCGTGATATAAAATGACTTCTTTGCATATTTTTATTTTGAAAGGGTTTACTCAATTTTTAGTCCCTTAATTCTTTCATACTTTGAATTAGTCCTTCAATAATTGAGATTCATATTAGCGCCCTCAATTCTACAAGGTGCTTTTAATTAATCCTTCAAATTGATACTTCTACTGTTGATTGAAATGAATTTAAACATTGAGGGTCCTAATAGCAATTTCAGTGATTTGAGAGACTAATTCCAAATTATAAAAAATGTAAAGGACTAATATTTAAAACATCTATTTTTCAATATATTAAATAATTCCATATTATTTGTAGAGAGCCCACATTTTTTATTTTATTTTATTTTATTTTATTTTATTTCGGGTGGGGGAGTGAAGAGTGTGCCTGTGTTTGTGTCAAAGGATATAGAATTTCCAGAAGAAATAAAGAGGAAAAGAAAAGGACAAAAGAACACTTCTTGTAGAATTACAATTCTACCCTTTAAATTACAATAGTAAAAAAAAGAAATGTCTTCCAATTATTTAACTTTTTTATTGACCACACCTAGTCCTTTATGAATAGTGCAGATACCTGTAAAGGAGTGAAATCCCAAAACTGAAGAAACGGCCATGAGGATTAGGAAAAACGAATACTGCGTTTTTTGGTTGCAGGTTGGTCGACCGCGAGTTTGAGGCCGGCTGATCGCATCTGTATACATTACAATGTTCAGAAAACACTGTTCGGGTTGGTCTACTGGCCAAGTCTATGCGGTTGACCGAATTCGTGCATGGAACAGGGTCTTAGAACCATGTTTTGGTCGGTCGACCGACCATGTCTGTGCGGTCGACTGAATGTGTACTGGGTTACAGGGTGGAATTTCGACCTTTTGGCCGGTTGACAGAAACATCATGTTCGGTCGACCGCGATACAGTTTGGGCCCAGATTTGTTTTCCTAACATGTTTTGGATTCATATTTGATATAAATAGGAACATGACGTTTTCTAGAGTTAGGTGAGAGATTAAGAGCTAAGATTTGGGCATTGTTTGAGCACTTAGAAAGAGAGAATTTGTGAGGGTTTGAGAGTTTTGTTTGAGGGTTATTTTATGAGATTATTGAGTGATTGTAAATCCTTTTTGTACTCTCTCTATTAGTGAAATCTTCCCCCTCTTTGCCCCGTGGACGTAGGCTCATTACCAAACCACGTAAAATTTGGCGTCTTGCTGTGTGGTGCTTGTGTTTGGTTGTTGCTTTATTCTCCTATCTTGTTCGTGTCCTTCGATTCCGCTACGCACAACAAGTGGTATCAGAGCTTCGGGTTGGCTTGGGGTTCAATTTTGAGGAGAAAGCTAGGGCTTCTACAAGAGGATTTGGTGCAGATTCTCGTTTGAAGATTGGATTGTCAACATGGCCGAAGCAAGTACAACCAGATCATCCCTAACTAAGGCGATACAAGGTTTGAGTATTACTAATACAAAAATTAATATTCGGAAATTTGATGGCAAGATAAATTTTGGTTTGTGGAGGTGTCAAGTGATGGATGCATTGGATGCTCAAAATTTGGAGGAGACTCTTAAATTACAAGAGAAACCCGATGATATGGAGGATAAGGTTTGGAAGAAAATAAATAGTAGAGCATGTGGGGTTATTAGATCATGTTTGACGCCGGATTTGATTTATGATGTCATGAATGAAACATCGGCGAAACGGTTGTGGGAAACACTCAATGACAAGTATTTGACGAAGAGTATTGAGAATCGACTTCATTTAAAGAAGAGGTTTTACCAATTCAAAATAAAGAGTGGAGTTTCCATTAGAGAACATGTCAATAACTTCACGAAATTACCATCGGATATGGCCAATGTGGATATCATGAGAGAGGATGAAGACAAGGCGATGTTGTTATTGTGTTTGTTGCTAGAGGATGATTATGGTACGTTTGTCCTTACAATGATTAATGGTAGAATCACTGTTAGTTACTATGAGGGGACCTCAACGTTGGTGAATTATGAGTTGAGGAAGAGTGGTGGCGAATCTATTAGTGAAATCTTCCCCCTCTTTGCCCCGTGGACGTAGGCTCATTACCAAACCACGTAAAATTTGGCGTCTTGCTGTGTGGTGCTTGTGTTTGGTTGTTGCTTTATTCTCCTATCTTGTTCGTGTCCTTCGATTCCGCTACGCACAACAAGTGGTATCAGAGCTTCGGGTTGGCTTGGGGTTCAATTTTGAGGAGAAAGCTAGGGCTTCTACAAGAGGATTTGGTGCAGATTCTCGTTTGAAGATTGGATTGTCAACATGGCCGAAGCAAGTACAACCAGATCATCCCTAACTAAGGCGATACAAGGTTTGAGTATTACTAATACAAAAATTAATATTCGGAAATTTGATGGCAAGATAAATTTTGGTTTGTGGAGGTGTCAAGTGATGGATGCATTGGATGCTCAAAATTTGGAGGAGACTCTTAAATTACAAGAGAAACCCGATGATATGGAGGATAAGGTTTGGAAGAAAATAAATAGTAGAGCATGTGGGGTTAGTAGATCGTGTTTGACACCAGATTTGATTTATGATGTCATGAATAAAACATCGGCTAAATGGTTGTGGGAAACACTCAATGACAAGTATTTGACGAAGAGTATTGAGAATCGACTTCATTTAAAGAAGAGGTTTTACCAATTCAAAATAAAGAGTGGAGTTTCCATTAGAGAACATGTCAATAACTTCACGAAATTACCATCGGATATGGCCAATGTGGATATCATGAGAGAGGATGAAGACAAGGCGATGTTGTTATTGTGTTTGTTGCTAGAGGATGATTATGGTACGTTTGTCCTTACAATGATTAATGGTAGAATCACTGTTAGTTACTATGAGGGGACCTCAACGTTGGTGAATTATGAGTTGAGGAAGAGTGGTGGCGAACCCTCCAAGAAGGCATCAGGAGATGCATGGCAGTAAGAGGCCGTAGTCCCAAGCCACGTCCATTTAATCACTCAAAATCGAAGCCAAGAGGTGGTCATAGAAGTATGGATAGGAATCAATGTGCTTTTTGCAAAGATAATGGACATTGAAAAAATGAATGCCCAACGTTAAAAGATAGAGCCAAAAAGAACAAAGAGAAAGCTGTTTAGACTTCAGAAGTGAATGTTACCAAAGTCAGTGGCGATAATTCAGATTCATATTCTTCAGGCTATTCATGTCCAGCATTATCGTCAATTTGTTATTTAGACTCTACAGAGTGGATGTTGGATTCAAGTGTTACATACCATATTTGCCCTAGGAGAGATTAGTTCTCTAGATTTGAGGAGTTGAAGAGAGGGGATGTGGTGTTAATAGGAAATGATCACGTATGTCTCATTGGTGGTATTAGAATAGTTCGAACCAGGATGTGTGACAGCATGACTAAGGAGTTGAAGGAAGTGAGATTTGTTGCACAATTGACGAAGAATATCATTTCACTTGGAACTTTGGAGGCATCATGTTATAAGGTAATCATGGAGAATGCAACTTTGAAGGTCACCAAGGGGTCCATGGTGGTGATGAAAGACGTCAGGGAAAACAATCTTTACTATTTGAAGGGCAAGACAGTAACAGAGGGTCTGACAACTTCTATTACCATAGAGGAGGATACTACCCGTCTATGACATATGAGATTGAGACACACCGTTGAGTCTCTACGGACATTGACAAAGCATGGGCTATAGAAGGGTGCAAAGACCTACAAGATAGAGTTGTGTGAACATTGCATACTTAGGAAGAAGACAAAATTAAAATTCAGCATAACGATTAATAACACATAAGGTATATTAAACTACATTCACACAGATGTAAACACATCTCTTGGTGGGGCTAATTATTTTATCACTTTCATTGATGATTATTTTAGGAGGAATTGGGTATATACCATGAAGCATAAACATGAGGTCCTGGATATCTTTATGGAATAGAAAAAAAAGTAGAGCTGTAAACAGGTAGAAAGGTGAAAGTACTCCATTCTGATAATGATGGTGAGTACAAGAGTGATTCATTTTTACAGTTTTATCGAGATCACGACATTAGGTGCTATTTCACAGTTAGGGAGACACCACAACAAAATGGGGTGGCTGAGATATTGAATCATATCTTGCTGGAGAAGGTGCATTGAATGCTCTCACAGAGTGGATTAGATAGATCCTTTTTGCGCCGAGGCGTTAGTTTATACAATCCATCTCGTGAATAGCTTGTCGTGCACTGCGATACATGAAAAGATTCCTATAGAGGTATTGTCTGGTACAGTAGCTAGTGATCATGATTTGATTCGGATATTTAGGTGTCCAGCTTACTATCATGTGAATGATGGGAAATTGAATCCGAGGGCAAGAAAAATAGTCTTTGTGGGTTTTAGAGAGAAAGTTAAAGGCTTCAAGTTGTGGGATCCAAAAGACAAAAAG